CAAGTCCCATCAAAAATATCTACAGCCTTGGAAGATATATTTTTACTACAGAGTTATTTAGAGCCGGGAAAATCGTTATGTAACATGCAGAGTGAAAAAAGTTCAGCTATATCATTTACTATATGCAAAACGCAAGGTGCACTAGGTGTAAATTAATAACTTTAACTGGAAAAAACAACAAGCAGACAGTTTTTAAAATCGAGTTTTCTTTGAGATCGGCTTGATGTCAGAGAGGGTAAGCCTGTGATGAACGAGTTTGAAGCCGCTATTATTTACGTGACTTGAATGACAGAAATTAAACATGCCGACGAGTGGCAAGCATAATAATGTTTTGACTAATATGACCGCTATTTGTGTGGAAATAATTAAAAGTGCTCGACCAATACCGTATTCCAATTCCGAGAAGGGTGTACTTCTAATCACAATTCTGTTGAGCAAAACCGCTAATAGAAACACTCCAATAGTCTGGTTTTGTTGTTTAGTTGAGACACGGTCATTGGGCTTTTTCTTCTTCAGAAACTACGCACATAAAGAATAAAAGCAAAAAAGAAATCTTCAGTTCATAACTTGAGAATCAAAGGGCTGAAAAGAAAGAGTACAAAGAAATGCAACACTTTCGTGTTTTCACCTTTTTCTAAAGGCGAGCAGCTGAAACTGGGGTTTGTTTGTTAAATAATTTCAGTTTTTCATAGTTCTTTAGCGCTTTTGAAATGAATCTCGCCCTAAAGATAAAGAAACCATTCGTTTACTGACAGCTACCGCCGGCTGGCTTGAAACAGATGCCACGGGTGTCTGTTGAAGTTGTTGATGAAGATGAATTTGAAGAGAATAAGCTCATCTTACAACGTAAACTTGACTGAAACATGTATCGGCTCGGCTTTTTATAATGTCCAGAAAAGTTTTTAAACTGCAGTCGCTATTACACCTAGGCTTTTCCTGTTTTTTAGACTATAAAAACGTAATACATGTTGGCAAGAAAGAGTGTCAGAGTGCTTGCATTACAAACATCTCATTGTCAAAGAGAAAAGTCTCAAGGTTTTCTAATGTTCTCTACTGTCTGAATAGTTAGCAAAAAGGCAAAAATAAACGAAGAACAGTCCGAAAAAGATACCGAATTATTTCTTTTTTGCGCTAAAACAATGCACGCATCTTTTGAGGGGCGAAGTTTCAGTTCAGTCGTAAATTTGTGATCCAGCCGTAAGCTGTAAAAAATTACAATAGTCAAGAATCATGGAGACCTCACGAACGTCGCGGAAAGCATTTACAGGACCGAATAGACATTTCGCATGGCTCAAAACTTGCACGTCTTTCATCTTTGCTAACAAATGAAACGAAGAAAGACTTTTCATTCATTAAAACAATAATTATCGTCGATGAAACCCTTAAAAACTCAGTCAGTACTGACTTAATGTTTTAAACAATCAACTGTTTTTTGTTGTTAGATGGAAGCAGCTGTTTCAAGCTTCTTGAAATAACGCTCCGATTTCGAGTTAGTGAAATGATCTGAAAAGAATATTTTTTTTTAAAACTCGATCTAGAATACGCTTAATACGTACAGATACAGTACATGTACTCTTAAAATTGAGGGCTTCGCGCTTAGTTCGACTCAATTCGACACAGATCTTAGGAGTATAAACTTCTGTCTTTTTTACTTATCGCTTGCTTTAAGGCGCGTCTAAGAAGTAAAAAGAAGCGGCTAAATCGGGTTTTTCTGGCTATTTCTGAAAAGCCAGGATATTAAAAATAATGAGGAAAACCAGGTCGACTTGCCATTAATGAGCTGAGTTTAATTGCATACGAGAAAAAGACATAAAAGTCTTCACAATATTGTTCTGAGCAATAATGAATGGCATACTCCGAAAAGAAATAAATTAAATCAGAGTTCTGTTCGAAGGCGGTTTTTTTATAGTCCGCGGTTTAACGATCAATTATATTTTTCCTTTAGGTTCTCTTGAAGTAGACTGATTGAAAGCCTTCCTGTTGGATTTTCGAAACAGTAGATTCTCTGGTTTGACACTGATACCACATCTGCGGGGTTTTTTGGTCCGACGTTAATTTTTTTTCCATCGTTTACATTTTTCAATTATACGAGAACGCAAGTTTATTAAGAAGTTATGCAAATGAAATATCTGTTCTGGAAACATCTGTCACAGGGTTTGATATTTGCTGATATGACTTCGTATCAACCCGGAAAACAACGAAACGGGGATTGGCGAGCGTTAAATTTTTGTTAAGAGATTGCTTGAAAAATAAACCTTCCTACGGCGCCTGGAAGGTTAAATCAGAAGAAAGAAAACAAACAATGAGGTGTGAAGAAAGTGTTCGTTAGAAAATTAGGATTTCTAACTTTTTTCTATTCATCAGAATACTGTATTGTGCGTGAACGGCAGGCAGTCCTAGCGAAGGCGTGTTTAACTCATTACTGCAACACAGCTGCACGGTTATCCTATAAACAGTCGTTAACTAAGATTTTTAGTAATTAAAGGCTCTCAATAAAATCTTGGTAAACTACTTACTGCTGCCATGTGCGGTGAAACAGTAAATAATTATCTCGCTGAATGCAAACTTTTCTTCCGCTAAAGAGAATGGTTTTTTAAAACTACAACAATCTCAAAGAAAAGGGAAAGTTTTAATGAGTTCCTCGATGAAAGAAGGACTGTGATCACAGACAGCTGAAAGTTATGCAAAGCCTTCTTTTGGAATGCTTCAAGCTATTCCAGTGTTTGATTCCCTTGATTTTTAGTCTCAGTTTCTTTCTCACAACAGTGTTAATTCACAACTACCTGGTAGAATGGAATTGAGGTGCAGGTCATTGAAATGAATAAAGTATATTTTGCGTACTTGTGTGACACCGAGGAAGACGTGTAAATTTCTATTCAAGCTGTCGCTTAGCAAAAGGGAAGGCTGTAAATGTAAACTTAACTCAATTGTTTCGCGGCGCACCGATAGCATAGAGAAAGTTAAAACAACGTATTGAACATGCAGTTTTTTATACGATAGATTATCGCCCTAAAGGTTCAAAATGGCGTCTTTTCGGGCTTAAACATCTCGGTATAAACACTAAAAATACAATACAAGGGCGTTGTTTCTGAGATTTCTTTATATATTTAACCGCCTGGAACATTTCAAGTGCTTTGATACTCTTTGATTTTCGCAGATTTAGTTTTCTTTCCCATAATTTGCCCTTGTTTTCAAATTTTTCAGCGTTTGTTTTGAAGTAAATGTTTTTTTTTAAGAAAAAAGAAACGCTCTTTGCGAATAGATTCTTTGTTTTTAATACACGATGAAATAATTCAGTATTCAAATTCAGTAGTTTTACAATGTTTTATTCACTTTAGTTTGCTTATCTTGCTGAGCAGATGCGCTGTTAAAGATAAACTAAACAGTGCTCGAAATTCGGACAGAAAAAACAGGAATTTAGTTTTCCAAGCCATTCCGTGGCTCAATAGCTATTAAATTTGTGTCATGAGCAGCGAAAATCGTAGCGATTTGGGAACTTTTGAAATTTTACAATAAATCAGTAGAACTGACCAGGTCAATCAACTTGAAATACTGTGTGAAATGCTCGCATGATGTTTCATAAAGTTATATTTTCTCGGCGAATTAGAGAACGGCCCAACTGGAAGCCCGCAGTAGTTTGGAAAAATGTCGTGCGAGCGACATTTGCAGTAGGTGAGTCAGATTTTCCAAAGCTTCTGCGAATCTTCCAAATTTTTATGCTGGTTGTTTCTAAGACTCGATAGTAACACAGGGAAAAGGTATCATTGTGATATTTGTTGTGCAAAATGCGGCGAGGAAAAGAAAGTGGATGTCACATGGCGGTTAGCTTCGCGCTTCCATACTTTTCTAATCAGCAGGGACTTTCCTAAAGATAGAGCAAAAGCCAAGGAAAGAAAGCAAGCAAAATGAGCTCAGTTATTGAAGCGAAAGGAAAGGAATTCATGAAGTCTTCAGCCTTAGTCCGCAGCGTAAGGCCCAGAGTTTAAGTACAACACTAAGCGTAATGGATGAGTTTCTTTGCGTGTCTAACTAAACTGATTTCACTGTGTCCACTGTCGGCAACATTACGCTTGGCCGAACAACCATCGGTCATTTCTTGTCTTGTGTTTTATCATTTTTGTCGCCTATTTCTTTCGAGAGCAAAAAGCACTAACTCAGTACGGTTTATTCTTTTTAAGTACTTAAAGCTACTTAACTTGACTTTACTATCACCATTTGGTTGTATAACTGCAACCTTCAGAACTTGCTTACAGTGTGTCACTTGCAGAGTGAAAAATGTTGCGTGTATAATGTCATCCTGTAGATTGTTTCTGGGATTATATCTACCGACTTGACTCTGCCTGCGCGACTCCTTCCACTCCAATCGTGCCTTTACGCTCTCTACAGGTCTAGATTGTACTAAAAATAACAAAACAATAATAAATCGTATTTTAAGTTTTCCTGCACAGAGAAAAATTCCACTATGTTACTAAATACGACCTACTCAAGTCTTGGCTTCGTAGCTGAGTCGGTAGATCCGGTCTGAAAGCCCGCGGTGGATTAGCAATTTTTCCGTCTTTGCCTCTCGCGCGTCTAACCATCAGAGAGAAATACTTTGGCTTATTAAATGGCTAGCTCGCTGAGTGGGCAAGACAAACCAAATCCTGGGCTGTGATTGGCTACCCGAGCGGGCACGATGGCGCGATCTTGCCCGCTGGGGATTACGCGCTATGTCCCGCAAGAAAAATTTGTTGTTTATCCCATACAAGACTGAAAACCTTTGTTGACTGCTTCAGTTCGGTCCAGGTGGCTCGATATTGGCTCCGTTCTTTTTTGCGTGTTTTTGTGGACCTCGACTCCGTCTCGGTCCATAAAAACGCAAAACACAAACAAACAAAAAAGAACTTGGCCAATATCCAGCTGTCTTGCCGCTTGGCCTCACGCTTGGTCATCAGGCCATCGCCGACAGGGACCACTATGCATTCTGGGAAAGATTTCGGACCGAGTAAGCTGGGTACTAGTAAAATGGCCGCACAGCTGACTGACGAGGTTTGTCTTTTCTCGTTATTTTGTTGAATTTGAAGCATCTTAAAGCTTGGAAATTTTCCGAAGCTTTACAAGGTAAGTCCAGTAATGACATAAATTACTGTAAGGAATAGTTTTCCAGTTTAAAGTGTAAGGATAATGGCGAACACCAAACTTGAACAAGGAAATAGAAATATCACCGACGGTATTCGTACTTTTACGACTAATGTGAACAGGATATCGCACTTTGGCGAGAAAACTGACTTTGATCTTCGAGCACAATAATTATAACTCATTCGTTCGCAAAGTTTTACACATGAGATATCATTCTTGCCACTTGAAGATGAAATTATAACCAACGTATAGTGTTCTTTTCATTTTCTGAGCAATTGCAATAAAAACACTCAGTTTTGATTTCTAACTTTGAGCCAGTTCAGCTAATATTAAATGACCTGATGTTTCTGTGTAGATCACCCCAGCACAGATCCAACTACTCTCTAACAATGCAAATCTCCTGTTCAGATTTTCAAACTGCCTAAACATCTGACCACTGCTCCCAAAATTGGCAATCAGGAATGTGGCTAAGAAAAAAACTAAGCGAGGTTATTAACAACCTCAGTTAGTTTTACTGACAAGAGTGCCTTTAAAATTTCCAGAAGTCTTTGTTTTCTAGTTATGGTAAATGCTCCTTAAGCTAGTTACAAAATAGCCAGTTGCTAGCTCTTAACTACAGTACTATAAATGTGCATAATATAGAATTGCATATGTAACAGGGCTTTGCTGTATCTTGAAATTATGACAGTCATCTCTCTAGCTAGGTGGAAATAGGAGACTGATTGCTTTCAGGATTTCAACTTCAGTTTTAATTTGTGATTTAATTTTTTTTATCAAGGTATGGATTTCAAACAGCTTATGAAATTGGCCTCTCAGAATAAAAGTCATGCAAGAAAGCAGGTATTGATATTATTAGAATTTTGTAGTCTTTTCTCATAAGTTGTTATTATGATAAATGAATATCATGTCAGATGGTAGTATGTGTTCACTGGAGAAATTCAAATGAACATAGAAATATAATATCATTGTTTTATTGATTAACAGACCTTTGACAAAATGTTTAAGCACTCTGATTAGTTCCTTGAATGGCCTGAATAAAAATTATAATTTTATTGTAACCACTATTGCTATACCCCAGGTAATACACGTATCACACCTACTGTAGGTCTTGATAGTATGGATCAAGCACAGTGACGTTGATATGGAAAAGACTGACAATTTATACGTTCTTTAAATAGGAAGGGATGGTAAATGAGAGATTTATTATGTAGCAACTTTACCCAGTCCAATGTTGTTTTTGCAAATAGTGGACCAATGATATTACACAAATTAAGTGATTGCAAGGGCCATACAAGGAGAATATCAGCCCAAGAAATTGACAATACAAACCAAGTGTAGTGAGGTCCATACAAAAACGTTATTCTCCCATGGTGTCAGTTTGATTCCCTGAAGTGACTTCAGACTAGGAGGAACTTTCCTTTGATGATGAGACAGTGCTCTTTTTATTTTATCTCTAAATGCTCCTGTATTCTAGACAAGTATTGCAATGTATTATCGATTATGGTTTATAAATTAGTTGATATAATTCTTTATTATTATTTTTTTTACAAAATAAACAGCAAGATAGAAACAATGTGGCCACCAAGAGTTGTGATGGTAAATCAAAGGATAGCGGGATATCACAAGCTGCTGTTCAGGCATTTCTTGCGAAGAAAGAGATGGAAAAGAAAAAAAAGGCAGGTAGGAGAAATTGACATGCGTTGGTTTTTATTCTATTGATTCCTGATGCCCAGATGTTCATTAGCATTTCATGTTTAAGAAATAGAAAACATGTTTTGTGTTTCTATCGAGTTATAGAAACAAAAGTGGAAGTTTGGGAGAACAAGAAATACTGTGGGAGCACAAGCCAGCTGGTGAGTGTTTCCACAGCTTTTTCAAGTTCTCCCAAACTTTCACGAGTGTTTCCATTAAGCAATTAGATTATGAGCTTGAAATATCTATCAGGCATAGAAATCGAGAGCGAATAATCTTTTGTCAACTGTTTTAGGTATAAATCTACTAGTTGTTCAAAACTTTAGCTAAATCCTCTCCACAGACACTTTGAAAATGCCAAGAAGTGGCCGTCATTTTGTTAACAAGCGCACACTGCTACGATACAGATTGGTATAAATCTACTAGTGTTCTTTCACGAATGCCGTTTTCTGATTGGCTACGCTACCCACTATCTATTCTGTGATAGTAACGTAGCAGTGTGCCCTTGTTAACAAAATGACAGCTGCTTCTTGGTGTTTTCGAAGTGTCTGTGAAGAAGATTTAGCTACAGAGTTAGTTTTGAAAGACTAATAGATTTATACTAAAAAAATTAGATTATTTGCTCTCGATTTCTATGCATGATAGTTGACTCGGGCTGCGCCCTTGATAGAAATCTCAAGCTTGTAATCTAATTGTTTAATAGAAACATGACTTTAAAACAATCACTAAGCAAATTTTCTTTGGGCTATTTTCTGATTCATTGTTGTGTACATGTATACGTGTAGCTGAGGAAGAAGCTGCAAAACGTGCAAGGATTCAGGAACGCCTGGCTCAATCCCTTGGCACTAAAAATGCAGAGTCTGCGAAGGGCACAAAAAGTGTTCCAACATCTCATGAGGGACAGTGCAAGCCACCAATGACAACCATGAATGAACAACGATCAGGTAGAGTAAACGAGAAACAAAAACTTTCAGAACATAAAGCTTCTAAGACACCACATCGTCAGTCATCAGCAAGAACATCTGAAGCTGACAGAAAACTGATAAGACCTTCTCTGGAACCTGATAGTAAAAACAGGGATACAAAGTTTAAAAAGCCAGTCGAGAAGGTGCGTAAGAACCAAGTTAATGGAAAGAAGGGTGCACCTCTTAACTTTAAAGAATTACTGGCTGCTGCAGAAAGGAATAAGCTTGGTGGTACTAAATTGCAGTCTGTGGTAGAACAGGGCAACAGTTCAAAGAATAGTGGAGGCAATGGGGAAAGCAGCAACATTAAAAAGAGAAGCTTGGAAGAAAAAATTGTCATGCAAGATAAGACTGGAAAGCACAAAAAAACAGCTGTAAGTACAGATTCTAAGAGGCTGTCAAAATCAGTTCCAAATGGAAAATCATTATCTTCAGGAAAAGATTCCAGTATGAAAAACGATTTCAAGAGATCACCAGGATTAGTGAATGGAAGCAGAGAAAAACCTTTAGAAATGAAAACAAAAACTTCAATGGGAGCCATATCAAGTGACAGAAAATTAGGTAACCCTAAGTACAATAATCCTGCTATTGAAAGAAGGCCAGTGAAAGCAGCTCATCTTGGCCAATCAAGAGACAGGGTGAAACTGAAGAGAAAACGAAACCCTTACAAGGATGAAATGGATGACTTCATTGACGACGGAGAGGGAGAGGATGTTCCTGATGTCTCAAAGTATATACGGGAAATTTTTGGCTATGACAAGACAAGGTTTGTATCCCTTTTCTTCAAAAATGTATACGCCAGCATAACTCATAATAATAACTACTTATTAACCCAGAGTGAGGTCTTAATGGGAAAATTTCAAACTGAGACCTTGCCATATTGACCAAGAGATAGCAAGGTCAATATGGCAAGGCCGAGGTTTGAGATTTCCCGTGAAGACTGAACAATTGAGGTAAATATTTAAGTGGTTTATTAGATGGCTTGTTGCTTTGTTCATGCAGGCCTGTAATCAGCCCATGCCC